AATAGGGCAGTGATTGCCCAGACTCAGCTGCTGCCAAAGAGGGGCAAAGAATGACTGAGGAATCCAAAGTGAAAACTAGGTATATATATGTGGCAGAATGGGTGGAGAATGACAAAATACAGTGAACTCCAGAACTGGAACACCAACTCCGCTTTCCTGGAATGTCAGAGTCCATACCTCCGCTCCGCCGCCAGGCGGATCCGCTCGGACTTTCAGTACCCGCTCGGAATCCATGTGGAATTCATACGGACTCTCATCATTCTCTACTTGTCATCACTCCTGAGCCTCCAGGGGCGTTCCATCACTTTCCTACATCGCTTAATCCCATTTCCCCCCTGTTCCTGTTTCCTGTCCCCTTTATTATCATTAGCGAGCGCTTCTCCGCCCACTCCACTACATATATATATACTTGCTTTTCACTTTGGATTCCTAGTAGTCTGGGCAATCACTGCCCTATTATAGTTTTTGTCAGAGAAGCATTCACTAATAATAATCAGGGAATAGGAACAGGAACAAGGGGGAAATGGAATTAAGCAATGTCAGGAAGCGATGGAGCATCAATGGAGGCTTGGGAGTGATGATGAGAAAAGGATGATGAAGTGTAATAAGGGTCCGTGCAAGTCCGAGCGGTCATTGAGATTCCGAGTGGTTCTGCCTGGCAGTAGAGCGGAGGTAGGAACTCTGACATTCCAGGAGTGCGGAGTTGGCATTCCAGTTCCAGAGTTCACCACATTTTTTCAGTCTTGTGGTCCCTTGAGTTGCCATCATAGTACCAGTGTTGTGATTGCTTGTCATGTTTTGTAGCTGAGTTGTTGTGAGTTGTTGTGCTGTTGAGGTTTAGTCAACTACACAGTAAAAAGAATTACTTACCATGTGTCTTGGAGCTATGTTTGCTGTATTGTTGTCATTGTGGCTGCATGGTCATAAAAGCTCTATCCATCAGTGTGAATAAAATATAAAATAAGTCTATGCTTACAAGCACACAGTTGTGGAAGTCCCATGCCTGTCTGTTGTCATTGCCACAGATGCAGAGTTATGAGGGGGGAGGAGCAATGAGTTAGCACAGTTGCTACACCAATGTGATGGAGTTGTTGGCATGTTGTCATGAGGGGGAAGTGGCAGGAGTGGCAGGCATTTTGTGTGGGTGAACCAAGAGTAAATAAATCAGGAACTGACCTGTGTAGCCACACTGCATCCTGCAGTGTGGCTGGCTCATGTTGTCTGTAGCTGGATGGTGATGGGATATTGGCATCGTGTGTGCATGCATTGAGTACAAGGAGACTCTGAAGTCAGTAAATACAATTGGCACACAAGTCAGCAGTATGCTTGCCCTAAAGTGTCACATGTGAACAAATTTTGGACTTTTAGTGCTCAGTATGGAGGCTCATTCCACACCTCAAACAGCTTGGGGCCCCACATCATAAATAGCCCACCTATGACCTCAAAACAACTTGTTTCATATAACTGAGTCTTTTTTTATGTTGCTTGTGCCCAAAACAGCTTAGTACTCACAACTCCCCAGTGAACAAATGACAACATAGTGATAGCACTCACCTGCCACTCCTCCCTCAGTCACACACACACCCTACACCAATATAGATGCCTCAGCACAACACATTGATGCCAGTACAGATGCCATGCCAGCCAGCACATACACTGTCCACAGGTCACAGATGGAACCACCCCCACCCCTTTTTTCAACCACCTACTGTCAAATGGTAGCAAGCACAGTGCTTACCGTCTAATGCCTATTGATGCTTGAGCTAGGATCTAGTCCCAACAGACTGGTAGCTCAGTTGGAGGAAGAGCACCACTGTACTACGCTGGAGGCCACAGGTTCAATCCCTGTCTAGTCCACTTTTCTGGCAAATTTTGTCACCTACCCATCCCAGCAACATCAACACATAGCAGGAACATGTATGAAGACAAGGGAAGGGAAGGAGACAAGACAGAGATGGAGACAAAGGAGAGAGAAGGAGACAACAAGAGACAAAAGAAGACAGACAAAGAGACAAATGACAGACAAATGGTTACCATCACCATCAACAGAACAACTTGCCAACATACTGTTCTTACCATCTTTGCTTTCATTTAATTACTTTTTGTACTTACAATCTTATGTGACTTTTTGGTCAATAATATATGCTAAGTTCCATTAGCCATAAGTTCCATAAGACAGAGTTTGAGAGGCAATGCTAAATTTACTTTTTGACTGATGTTGCTTATTGAGCTTTGGAGGAATTTTGAGCTCACTAAGTTCAGATGAGTTCAGATAAGTTCAAATAAATTCAAATAATACTTTTGTTAAATTACTGATGCACCATGAACCTGTTTGGCTGCCTAGAATGTGCATCAAGCAATAAAACACAACGGTACTGTCTGTTTCAACACACCCACTTTGAGTGCTCAGCCTTGTGATACTGGCAGGAAGGTGAGAGGATTGAAAAAAAAAGGAGGTTGATCATGATGAAACAGGCAAAGGCTAGAGCCAGATGCATTAACCAAGCGACCACTCACACAAAGGGTAACGCAAGGAAACTCCCCACAACAAAAGTCACTTTATAAGGCTTGTGTTAAATCATTGATGAGGATCAGACTTTGACTGCAGCATTGGTGTGTTACCTAGCAGTACATTGGGTGTCGGAGTTCAGCGCTCAGGCCTCAGGAACCTCTGCCATGAGTAGTGTTGCTGCCAATCTGACGTCCTCCTTGAAGTTTCTGCTTGTGCGAACACTGGTGGGCACTGGGCACTATATCCGATAGCTGATGACATAGAGCACCAGGATGTAAGCAGGGTGTAGTTAAAACACGGTCATTGTGGTTAGCGCTATGTAATCCAGTAGTGACCTCGTGCATTTTCTTTTTGGAGTCGACTATGTCTTCCATCGTTCTCCCTGGTGAATATGTTCCAGCACAACATGTCAACCTCAAGCTCGGGCCAGGGCTACTACAGCTCACGACACCTCACGCTTCTGCGGCTGGGCTTGGTTCGCAGCCAGTTGTATCGATACGTGCAGGTGCACTAAACCATTCCGCGAACAAAAGCAGATGGTGGGTGGAGGGCAATTCCAGGCGGGTGAGCTCTCTTCGTACAAACCAAAAGCCTTGACAAGACCCTTATTTAGCTCTTATCGAGTATGTTCCAGCGCCGCAAGAAAGTGTGATTGGTACAGTCACCGGACGTAGTGGTGAAGGATGGCGAGTTGACATCGGCTCTGCTCATCCCGCGTCGTTGGATGGACTGGCATTCGAAGGGGCTACCAAAAGAAATAAACCTAACCTCAAGGCGCGTGACTGACACCAGCCGATCTTTCATGTAACTCAATTAACTTCTTGCAGGTGGGGTCTCTGCTCTACGCTCGCGTATCCCTCGCACACAAAGATATGGAACCCGAACTAGAGTGTTTCGACGCTCAGACGCACAAAGCCGAGGGTTTCGGCGAACTGAAAGATGGATTCGTCACTCAGTGCAGCTTGCAGATGAGTCGTTTGTCTGTTTTGCACTACTCGATACCCTTTCTCTATTCTGACGATATCTACAGATTGCTAGATTCTAAACATTTCTTGCTTCCGCTCCTAGGGTCTCGATTCCCACTGGAGGCGGCCGTTGGTATGAATGGCAGGATCTGGGTTAGCACGAAGGAAATGAAGCAGACGATCGCCGTCGTGCGATGCATCGAGGCTGTCGACCCTTATGGTGGCGGTATGGACGAAGCTGGTGTCAAAAAGCTTCTCTGTCGACTCGAATCATAAAATCTCAACCAAAGATGACAACCCATGAGCTCCGAGCGACGATGCTGAGATGTGGGACCAATCTTAGCGAGATTAGGATCTATTCCCCTTTTCGCCCCGGCCAGGAAACCCTTCCAACATGGTGCATGATGCATGACGGACCTCCATGACCACTTATTTGTTGTGCAGTACTTTCTTTTCTCTTGGTTGTTTCTAGGTTCTTCCTAGTTAATTCAAGCTAGACATTAACAACGGTAATGAGACGTCCGAGTCGGTAAGCTCATGAGCGATTCACCCAAACACCTGCGCCCGGTAATTGAACGAAATTGAATGGTAGTGTACTGGTGACTTCCTGGACACGAATACACAAGGTCATAGGTCCAGTTTTAATACGAGGTTACAATTTATTATTATGTATAACTTAGCTCCCACTTGGTGGCCTAGCTTATCGACGGGGAAACCAGTGAAAACTGAGAAAATTGCCCTTCGAAGATATTCAACTCACAAATGGGAATGAAACGATGCGAACGCTGCTAGGCTTCTGGCCGTGACGAACGAGGAGCCGTATCGATCCGTCGCTGGGCGACGGTCAAAGATCGATCGTAAGGAGAAAATTGACAGAGCGTCTGGCACATTGGTGGAATATGATACACACGGCAAGCGAATTTGAAAGAATGGCCAAGGAAAATGCGCCCACAGCTATCTGACTGATGCTTTCGGTTGAACGCATGCACAATAATCTCCCCGCAACGATACGAGTGCGTCGCGAGTCCCAGCTTCGCTGACACGACCTTCCTGCGGGAAAGTAACTGGAAGGACGTCATAAGATGCGTTGAGAGAGGCCTCGACATAGGACAACTTACATGCAATCAGCATTTTACATGGTAGACAGACGATGAGCAATGGCGATGGTCGTCCGACCATTGGAAGCTTGATCGAGGGCCTGTTGCACAACCTCCTCCGAGTCGGATTCTAAAGGCTTCATAAAAAATCAGGGCCTTGGGATTCCGAAAAAGGGCACGAGCAATCGCAACACCAAGTTCTGGTGGCGGTCGCCAACTCTTCTGACCACCTAACAGTTAGGAGCCCTTGCCACTGACTTCGGTCTCGAAGCCACTTGGATGTGGTATCAATGCACGTAGATGTGACCAGGAGACACTCGTAACTTATTCGGGTAGTCACTCGATGAAGTCCAAGGTGTTTGCAATACGACAAGCCGTTGCGATTTCTTTCTGGGTGACCTCGGCCTGGGGTTGGGTTGTACCAAGCAAGACGTTGAAGCGGATGGTCCCAGCATACAGACCCTCACAAAACAACCTCTCTGAGTGAACTTGACCTCGTAGAAGCGTTCGAGTGATTGAGTGCTATGAAAAAGACTATATCAACCAAGCTCTGAACTACCGATCTGAGAGAATGTACACCGCGCTTTCCCCACAACCATTGGCTCTCACGAGAGCAACGTAGGTACCGGGTTCGGAAATAAACGTTTTCGTTTTCCAAGAGAATCTGGCCTAAGCCAAACCGATGGCCGAACCACCGATGAGAGTACTTATGGACTCCACGATGCTGATGAATGGTCATCACGAAAAGTAGCACATGATACACTTCACTCACGCTCCAAGGGCGGCTCCAGCTAAACCATTGATCTTTCGCGGATTCTTGCTCAAGTTGGCTGTAGAAGTGCTCGTCTAAACGATACGGGTCAGCGGGGATATCTTGTATCAAGGCATGAGATCACTCACGCTATTTACATCCCAGTCGAATAATTCAACTATTGGGATGGGTGAGTGCTGATGAAAAGGGTGAAAAAGAACGAACTTACTGTCTTGCCTTAGGACAGCTCTCAAACTGGGTGCGCGTAGCTTCGAGGTAGCATCACGGCTGATGATGAAAAAAAGTAGTTGCGGAAACCAACCACGGCATAGCTAGGCCAAGACGGATATTTTCCACATGACGGATACATTCCTGACCCTCGTTGAATAATCAGTCACTTGGAAAGATGCTTTAGGATTCGATATTGGTGCTGCCCCAGACCCGACACCAACTGAGAAAGGCAAGAGTATTATTCAGCACTGTGCTGACATCACACTTACGTTCCTCGTCAGCAGCGGCCAAATACCAACCGAGGATAACAGAGCTATGATGAACCTAGATCCAAACTCAGGTGTATCTGGCCAGTGGGACTACCACATTGCTCAGCATAAAGCATTGATATCGCCACCATGGCGCTGAACGGAAGGATCGTCCTGGGAGAATCTACCAATGGCGTGACCTAGGAGAGGGCGATCCCAGCAAATGAACTCGCCGTACACGATACCGAACACGGGATAAACCATGCCCCTCGCTGACGATGTTTCAGCCAATGCAACATGTGCCGAGGAGGGAGACCTACCTACGGCAAACGTGGCACCCGAGCCATATCTCCACAACCCCTCGTAATTGAGAGCGTCAATACGTGCAGGGGGGTAGGGGAGGTTATACTCACCCTCGTTGGCCTCGTTTTTCTTCCTTCGTTGGCTCCTCTCCTGGAACAGATCCGAGGCGACGGAATAGTTGGTGTTCTTGCAGCAGAGATGAACCTCGTCCTCGACGACCCTCTTCACTTCAGCGCTGGCAGTTACGTTGGTGTCATTGTTACTGCCCTGGTTGTCCTTGGTTTACCGTAGTTTCTGCGCGTGAACGATGGGCGAATATGCACCGTTCTCGTAGGCCAACAGTCCTGCATGCGTGCCCTGCTCCGAAACGAGTCCCTCGCCTAGCGCGTATATACAATCGGTAGCCTTGATCGTAAAGAGCCGGTAAAGATCGTTATCTCCGTGCGACTAGCAGCTGCCTTGTGCAACACATCCTGCACGACTTGCGCGGACTGGGTATCGAGCACAGAAGTCACTTCACCAAGGAGCAGGATCTGAGGATCGGAAACGATAGCACGAGCAACTGCTACACGGTGCTTCTGACCTCCAGACAGAGTGCGCCGACCATGATGTCATAGCCTTGGGGCAACTCAGTGGTGGCACCATCTGCATTGGCCTTGATGCACGCTTCCTTGGTGATGTTCTCTTCCTCCGAGAGATGCTCGTGAGGGTGTTGGTCAAACCGTGAGCGACATTTAAATCGTGGTCGCG